TGGATCTATCTATAAAGAGCGTCCATTTTCCCATTTTTTCTTCTTATATAAGTTGTTGAGCTTCTAATTCTACTTCAACTTGTAGCTTATCACTAAATTCAGCCACAAAATCTATCAGGGCTTGTGATTTTATTATGGATCTTGGTTCGTATATGATGTCATATGTACTGAGCTTCACTGACCATTTGGCTATTCTCCCTGACATTTATGGTTTTCTCATAAAGTTCTTAATAGGATAGTTAGTTTTTACATGTATGGTATGAGTTTCTAAATAATGTCTTAATTTGGTAGAAGCTGTAACTAGTGTAAGTATTAGTTTTTCAAGATGAGAATACCTAGTCTCAGGATCTAAGAGACTTTTACTTACATAGTAAATGGGATGTTGATCCCCATCGAGAACCTTGGCCAGGTCTGAACTTACAACATTTGAGGACACTGAAAGATATAGGAGGAGTGGTTTTACATCCAATGGCTTTACAACCAAGGGTGCTGAGCTTAAGTACTTGTTGAGTTCTTGGAAGGCATCTTCATGTTCCTTGGTCCATTCAAACTTCTTTTTTTCTTTAAGATATCGTCGGAACTATTAGGAGCAGGATCCCATAATCATATTCAGGATCCTTAATATTTATGAAACCTCAGGATCCTTAAATATATCACAAGATCTTGATTATTATCACTAATATTTACTAACATTTGTAACGGATAAGTTCTTCTTTCTTTTTCTCATATATGAAAAATTATTCAACACAAGAGTCATTCTCAACGGAGAGTCACTTCAACTAAGCTTAAGACTCAGGAATACCAAGTCAAACAACATGCAAATACTTATTCAAGGAGGATCCCAGAAATCTCGGACTTCTTGTTAATTAGCTTAGACTATAAATAACAAATGTAACTCGCACACTACACATATGATTAGCTCTACTACTACACTTGTACTCGTATTACCTTCAGAATCTTTGTAATCTCATATTTAAATCAATAAAATACAACGAGGCAGGTGATTATTATCACCTCCCAAGGTTTTATGTCGGAGATCCTATAAAGTATAAAGGGCTTTCCTTGTAACTCAGTTGTCTCATTTTGATCATCATTCTATACTTACATTACACTACATTAACACCACAACCTCTCATATAATTTGGTCGAATTACACTTGATTGATTTTTGACCAAAACAATTTGGCGCCCACCGTGGGGCCGTGGCATTCACAATCGTTCGAGAATCATGTCTACTCAACCAACCTTATCCTCTTCTTCCATTCATCCCATTTATTCTAAAAACCTTCCTCCACCCCGAGGAGGAGCTCCCAAGAAAACTTCTGAGGCACCGAAGAAAAATACCTCTCCGGTCACTACCCAAGTATTTCAGGATCCTCCTGTATTGATTTCCAATAACGAGCTCTTCGCTATGAGGAATAGACTAGAATGACAAGCCACTCAGCAGCAGGAGGAAAATAGGACGATACTCAAGGAAATAGAGATAATGAGGACAGAGATCCACAAACCCGAAGAAGTAGCACCCTCGATCTTGCAGCTCAAGATCCTGAACTTTGACAATACGAGATCCTAAGGAAACCGCCGCGAGATAGGATCCTCAATACCGGCCCCTGCTCTCACTTGGGGTTCAACTCCAAAAGAGTAAGCTCATATGATCCAGGATCCCGACGAAACCTTCGTTACTTCCAATAACAAGAATCCTGGTAACTCCGTAAATAATAATATTTTTAATGCTAACTCCATGGATGTTGATGCAGGAATAAGCCCGATCATGGCCAAGGAACTTCAGCAGTTAAGGCAAACGATCTAAAACGTGCTCGGGGTGGGCCATCCTAGAAGTTTCCCAATAAGCCACACGATCTCAAGATTTGCTCTGACGATTGTTGATACCGAATTCCCAAAGCGTTTCCAAACTCCCAGCATGAAGCCTTATGATATGACTACAGATCCTGAAGAACATATGGCACAATATAGGAAAAAATGGATATCATCCTCATTCCCACACATTTGAAGGAAACTTGTCTATGCAAGGGTTTTGGCTCGACCCTCATAGGATCAGCCTTGAAATGGCTAGTAAATGTTCCTCCTTACTTCATTACTTCGTTTGCACATTTAGTTAATATTTTTAACAACCAATTTTCTTGCAGCAAAACATTTGAAAAGATCACTAGTGATCTCTATCGGGTGGTTCAGGATCCTAAGGAATCCTTCAGGGATTTCATGAACAGGTTTGGTAGGGAAGCTCTGAATATCCCCAAAATAGATATGGCGAATGCCGTAGAAGCCTTCAAAATGGGCTTAAAGAAGGACTCCCCTTTCTATGAAGACCTTGTGATGACTCCATGCAAAAGAATGAATGAAGTAAGGAGCAGTGTAGTGAGGTTCATAAGGCTCGAAGAAGACAAGGAGATCCAAAAGAGGACCAACCCACCAAAATCATATGATAACCCCAATAGAAAGGCCAATTCCTCGGTCCAAATATCCTATAAATCCAAACCCTATTCCAAACCTGATCATCACAATGTCAATGCCCTCGAAGATAAAGGGGAGGAAGAAAAATTTCCTAAGATCACTGACTATTGTTTTTCTGTGGATGTTTCAGGTTTAATATTTGCTATGCAGGATCTTGGAGACAAAGCAAGATGGCCAAGAAAGGGAGAAAAGTCCACAGCCTGGAAAGACAATTCTAAATAATGTGCGTACCACGAGGACTTTGGTCACATCACGGAAGATTGCATAGCCCTCAAAAAGGAGATCAATTATGTGCTTATAAAGGGATACCTGAAGGAGATCCTTGGAAGAAGAAAAGAAAGATCCAAAGAAAAGGATCAGGATCCTCATAATATCCTAGAAAAACCAGGATCCCCTCCTGCGGATGCTAAGGTAATCAATGTAATCTCTGGTGGATCTGACTTTGTGGTACTTCTTACTCTACAACAAAAAGACATGCTAATGTGTCAAAAACAGAGAAATAAGAAAGCCCTCAGAAGAATACGTCGATCACGAGCGAGAAGGAGATTAGCTTCGACGAAATAGATAGAAAGAGCGTCCAAGATCCCCACCACGATGGACTGGGGATCACTCTTTACATCGCTAACCATTTTGTCAGAAGGATCCTTGTCGATAGAGGATCCTCAGTCAATATTATTCTCTTGGATGATTTAAAGAGAATGAACATCCCCGAAAGAGAAATAGTCAAAAGATCTTTAGTACTAATAGGATTCAGTGGCGAAACAAAGCATATGGTCGACGATATAAAGATAGCTATCTACGTAGAGGGGGTAAACTCTATGCAACGTTTTGTATAATTAATACATTATACTCTTATAATGTTATACTGGGAAGACCATGGATCCACGATATGAAGGTTGTCCCCTCAACATACCATTAGTGTGTTAAGATGCCCACTCCATGGGGGATATTAGAAATCACAGGTGGTCAAAAAGAATCTAAGGAGTGTTACAAGTCCTCAATGAAACCTTTAACGGTGCCTAGACAAGCATAGAAATTAAAGCAGGGGGGACGAGGTGTGCTAGAAAAAGAGAGCAGGACGTGAAGGAAGTGCCCTTAAACCTCGAGGATCCTGAAGCCAAAGTCCTTATAGGATCCTCATTACCAGAGCATATCGAACAAGGACTAATAATGTTCCTAAAAGATAGGAGCAAAACGTTCGCCTCGAAGCACGAGGATATGATAGGTTTAGAGACAAATATTATAACCATAAACTTAACATTGATCCTTCTTTCAGACCAATACACAAAAAAAGAAGGAAGTTTGCACCATAAACAAATCAGATCATCCAAGAAGAAGTAGAAAAACTTCTTAAAATCGGGATGATCAAGGAAGTGAAGTTCCCAAGGTGTCTAGCCAACGTGGTCGTAATAAAAAAGAAGAATGGAAAGTGGAGAGTATGTGTAGATTATACGGATCTTAATAAGGCTTGCCCTAAGGATCCTTTCCCCATGCCACTCATAGATTTCATGATAGACTCCACAGCTGGACATTAATTGCTAACGTTTATGGATGCATCAACAAGGTTCCAACAAATTCAAATGGAACCATTTGACTAGGAGGAATCCGCATTCATAACCCCAACATGTGTATATTGTTACACTGCTATGCCTTTTGGTCATAAAACACTACAAGAAAAAGACCCTTTACGACGCGCAAACCACGACACTCATTGATTTATGTTACGCAAAAGAGAGTGACATTAAAAAAGTGTCATCCCTTCAAAAAATTTAAGGGTTTAGGTCACGCATTATTGCGTGCCCTTAAATTAGTGTCTCATGTAAAAAAAACTTAAAAACACGGAGGGCACTTTATCTAAAATGTGCGTCCTCTGTGAATGTCGCTTTATGTTTTTTACTCAAAACGCTTGTTCTTGAGGAAATCCTCTTAAAATTCTAAAAATTTTAAATACCCCGCTTCAACATCTCCCTTCGTTCTCTTCTTCCCTTCTCTCTGCAAACCCAGAGATATAGTGTTCCTCAGCCTCTCCTCTTCCGATCTACCCTACTTTCCGATAATATAAATGTTAAGAATCATTTAGGGTTTGTTAATTGGTAAGAAACATTTTGTCCAAAAAAATTAAAACCCCTTTTCGATCGATCCTCTCTCAGTATCCCTTGTTCCCTCTACTGATACCTCTAACCAAACCCTTAGCATCCCAAAACAACCCTAAAGCCCCCCACACAATAACTAGGGTTTTTTCACGTCAACATTCTCCAGACGATCGAGCTAGAGTACGACTGCAACACTTCATCTCACCGGCCGGCGACCTCATCAGGCTCGCCTCACTTCACCGGCGATTGCGACTCATCAGCGTCACCGTCTCGGAGACTACGTCCCGACCCAATTTTGGTTGAATCCCTTGCCTCTGATACCTTATTTTCCTCTGATATCTTAATTAGTTGAGGGCGGCGACAGTGAATGAAGTCGAGGGCGGTGATGATCGTTGGAGACTCACTTGGGCGAAAGCAATAGGAGTTGCTGATTTGTATGACGTCGTCGGCCGTGCCACAGTCCACCACCAAGATAAGTATCGACGATCCTATCTCCACATTTAAGTTTTTGGTAAAGCATTTACATATTTTCACTCCTCTTTATTTGATCGATTTGAATATGGTGGGTGTAGTGTCGCTTAGTTTGTTTGATCGAAATCTGTGAATTAGGGTTTCGGTTTCTTCAACCCCCCTGTTGGTATTGGTGTGGTGTGGATTTGGTGAGATGAAGCTGGTATTTTTCAGGCATATACTGAATAGTGAACTCTGAGTAAATGTGAGGACCTAAATAGAGTTATTTTTTCATCTATAAACAAAAAAATATATCTTCTTGGGTAGAAATGCAGTCTAGTTTGCTTGTTTTTTTTTTCTTCTTATAATTCTTGAGTACATGCAGAGTTTTTAAGACTTCCAGTTTTGTTTTCTGTTCAGTGATATTGGTGATGAGGCAATTTTATCTGCATTATGGGAGAGATATCAAAGTGTCTCTGAAAAGGTATTGCGATATCACTGCATAAACTATTTATTGATTAAAATTGAACTTTTTTTCATACATTACCTAACATTGAATTGTCTTAATTTGCAGGCAGAAATACAAAAGGCTTTTCATATATTTCTTAAACAATTTTTTGTAATATACAAGAATTAGGAGCCATTACATTTAGATAATCCCATAGAAGTTGCTTTGGGTGTCGCATCTGGGGAGGAGTCTGAAAATCCTGATGAGGTTATCATTGGTTGTTCTACTGCACATCCTGCTGAAATCATAGTGATCTTGATAGAAGAAGTTACAAATATAACAGCTATGGTCACTGAATGTAAGTTAACCTATTTTTCATTTTTTAATCTTCATTGGTTTATATTCTTATGAGTAAAAGTATAACAACCCATATGAAACCAGTCATATGTGGAACTAGTTTATGCTTAATCAAGTCCTTTTCTGAAATAAATATGTGTGTTATTTTTGGTACTCATTTAAGTTTATGATGAGTTCTCACCACAAAGTGCTTTATATTTCCTGCATGAGATTACTTCAATAAACATTAATGATTTGCCTTCATTGACTGGCATATCAGGGTCTTCAAGTAGCTTGGTCATTACACCTGAAGGTTTTCGTGTCTTAAAATGTTTGACTATCATGACCCGTTCAATGCATAACTGTAAAGTTTTGGGGTATTATGGTGGTATTCAAAAGCCGACAACACTAGTGAAAGGTATATTATGGTTTTGAATCTACTTTGAGAAAAGTTATTGGCTCAGAACCTGTACAAGCAAGCCAATTCGTTGAATATGTATTTGGTCAATTAAAGTCTATAAATGATGCATACATCCAAAGGGATAATACCAATGTTTCTAATGACATCAAATAGACTTGATTGTGACCACTAATGGTTCATCAGGTTTGTTGATTTTTATTTTATTTTATTTGAAGTGCATTATCTGGTTTAATATGAAATGATTCATGTTGAAATTGGTTTCTTTTATTACTCCCTAATACTTGATATCTTATTTTTCTCATGCAGGTGCTAACAAATATGGTGTCATTATCATTGTTGTTGTTGTTGGATACGGATATGTTTGGTGGAAGGTAAATATAAGCTCATATATTAATATTTTTACTTTTTTACAGTTAACTTGTACATAGTTTTTCTTCAACTAACATATATGGTATCATTAACAGGGTTGGAAACTTCCTGATATGATGTTTGCTACAAAATGAAGTTTATCTGATGCCACAAGTGCTGTAGCTAAACACCTTGACACTGTCTACTCATCACTTGTAGTAAGTTATTAAAAAACTTTGTTATTTAAAGTTTAAACAAGTTTTAGGTATATTTTTTTTTGTTATTAATTTGGGTTGTTTATTATGTTGTTTAGGCTACCAAGAGACATTTATCTACAAGGATTGACCATGTTGATAGTAGTCTTTAACAAGACGGATTTGCAATATTTGGAAGGGATTTCGGAAGATGATAAGAAGTTAGTTGAAGAGATGAAGTCAGAAGCAATGAAGACTTTGGTTGTAGATGGTCAATAGGTGTTGTTGACCATGAGTACTTTGACTGAAGAAGGGGTAATCGCGGTAAAAAACGCAGCTTGTGAGAGGTTATTGGATCAGAGAGTTGAAGTCAAAATGAAGTCAAAGAAAGTCAAAGACCTGTTTGTATACCTGAAAGTGTTCTTGAAGCTAAAGCCATGGAAGCTGAAAATGTGAAGAGGAAACTCGAAAGGGATAATGAGAATGAAAATGGTGGAGCGGGTGTTTACTCTGCAAGTTTAAAGAAACATTATCTTTTAGCTGATGATGAATGGAAGGAAGATAACATGCCTGAAATACTCGATGGGCATAACGTGTATGATTTTATTGACCAGGATATTGTACAGAGGCTCGAGGAATTGGAGAAAGAAGAAGGGCTTCTTCAAGAACAGGGAGATGGAGAAGATGAAGAAACGGAAGGTGAGGATTTGACTCCAGAACAACAGAAAGAGCTGAATGAAATCATGAAAAATAAAATTATATTAATTCGTGAACATAGAATCAAGAAAAGCATAACAGAAAGCAGACCAATTGTTCATAGAAAATTCGATAAAGACAAAAGATTTACATCAGAAAGAATGGGGAGACAGTTGTCATCATTAGGGCTTGATCCATCAAAAGCGAGGAAAAGGGTGAGAAGTGAGTCAAGGGGTAGAAAGAGGGAGAGGTCAAGTGATCATGGTGATGGAATGGATGTGGATGCTGATGAAGGGTCGAATAAGAAGATGAAGATTAGGTCAAAGTCAAGGTCAATGTTGAGGGCAAGGTCAATGTCAAGGCCACCTGTGCATGAATTGGTTCCAGGTAAAGGGTATAAGGATTCAGCTCAAAAGGTGAAGGCGTTTAAAATGGGAAAGAGTTCAGTTCATAAGAGGAATAAGGCTGCTAAAAAGGGTGAGGGCGATAGAGTCATTCCGACATTGAAGCTGAAACATTTGTTCTCTAGGAAATGGTCAAACGGGAAGACTACTAGACGTTAAAGAGGTAAATTATATTTTTATTTAATTTTTATGTGTTAATTCTTTTGTGTTTAGGTTGCAGAAAGTATTGCTTCTAAAAAAGAGGAGGTACGACAAGATAAAGGTTGGCTAGTTTCTTTGTGTTTTGTATGTAAAATATTATGTTGATTTATGGAATATTTTGTTAAAACAAACTTGTAGGTTTCTTTAATATGTGGGGATACCAAAGTGATTGCTCTAGATGTTCAATCTGTACATAATGCGGTTTACACCATGGTGTGGTTCCTTTCCATTTTGTCTTGTGACTTTGTAGATATTGTTTTTTGAGTTGGATATGTGGTCTGATAAATTATTGTTACAGGAGAGTAGGTTGAGTAGGGTTGAATTGAAACAGGTGCTGAATATTGTAGAGTAAAGCTATATAGAAAGTGAGGTCAAAGTTGTTATTATACTTCTTATTTGTTGAAATACATTCATTAATTTTAATTAATAGTGTATAAATTAGAGTACCTTTTGACATGCGATTTTTTCTAGCTTAATGAGACATTTATTACAAATAATTTTGAATTTTTGTTGTCTTTTGTAGGGAAATCCATCAAGTTCATCAAGGCCAGCTCTTGAATTACCACAGAGGGTAAACTTCTAATCTTATACAAATACAATGATTTGCTAAATGCAAGAAATAGCAATGCACTTTTATTTATTAGTTTTATTAAAACATCCTAGTTTAATTTGTTTCCATTATAGGATTGTATGTTCAATTTATTTGTTATATCTTATGTTGATCTGATCAAATTAGTTAATAACATATTTATATAACAACTCTACCAGGTAGCTAAACTTGATTGTGTGAGTAATACAAGTTTTTGTTTTTTTTGTTTTTTTTGTTTTAGCTAATGTTCAAGTCATTACTTGCCATCCATTCCCAGTGGACATAGGGCATGAGATGCACTTGTTGCACATGGTCAGTAATCATGTCGTGTATCTAAAATCCAATCGCCGCCATTGATCCATGTCGACCTCGATCTAGATCAAGGTCACTGAGGGTTGTTAGTTTTATAGGAATGTATAACCCATGTTAGCAATGTATTATTTTTGTTTAACATTTGAATGATTATTTGTTTGACATATTATAATTTGTGGAATTTATTTTATTTTGTGTATGAAATTTTATTTTATATTATGAGACATTAAACGTGTGATGTAATTTGAAAATTAGTAAATTTACAAAAAATATATATATATATTTTAACACATTTAAACTTTATGACACGCAAAAATGTGTGTCGTCTTTCTTTATGACATGGGCTTTAATGATACGTAATGCAAGTCGTAAATGTGAATCGTTTTACGACACGCGAATGCGTGTCATCTTCTTTATGACAGGGCCTTCCTTGACACGCATTGTGCGTCGTAAACGCGCGTCGTAAATGCGCGTCTTAAGGTTACGACGCACAAAATCGTGTCGTCTCTCGTTATGGTAGGGCCTTCCTTGACGCGCATTTGCGCGTCGTCTGAGCGTTTTACGACACGCATTGCACGTCGTAAAAGGCTGTTTTTCTAGTAGTGAAAATACAGGTCCAACATTGTCACAACTGGCATTTAAGCCAACAAATTCTGTGATCATGTAAACGTCATCTATGATAATATTTGTAACTCTAACTTGACATCATGCACTATGTTCATTCTATGACAACTAACTTAGCCAAGATCCATAATTGTAGTTCAAAACTCTACGCAAAACATTTCAGAAAGTCAATTGGGAGTTGAAAACCCTAAAAATCCCGGTTCAAGTTCTTTATGGACTAGAATTTTCTTATTGGGCCTAATGGACCAATAAGCATTCAATTCAGCTATTTTGGGCTTAGAAACCCTATTGGATTCTAAATGGACCCAATTCATAAATCTATAACATTTTGGACCATATGGGCCTAGAATGATTCATTCTAACCCTAATGGGCCTTAATGGACCATAAACTCCCTTTCTTTTATTCAAATGGGTTGTGAACCATCCTAAGGGCCCAATGGGCCGAAAAATATTATGGGGCCTATGAAATTCGATCAAAGCCTAGGATTTGAGCCCAAAGCTATTTCACCTTCATTCATTGAGCCCATTCTCGGCCCAATGTGTTTATATAAAAAAAGGAAAGGATTTGCATGGGAAGAGGTGATGACACCTCATGTTTATTTAGAGGGTAACCAAGCTAAGTACATGGCATACATCTAAGAAAAAACATTAGCCATGGTGTATTAACCACTAACCTCTCTCTCTTCCTTCTCCTTATCTTTGGCCGAGAAGCTCCACAAACACACACATTCCACCTTCCAACTCACTTAAAATTTCCTCTCAAGCTTAAAGAAATACTCTCTCATTCTCTTGCCATTTTCGTGACCTTGATGTGTGATTTCCGAGAGCTCTTCAACAGTCATCATCTATTTGGTAAGTTGTTATCATATTTAAGTCTTTGATTTTAATCCTTAAGCTAAGAACACTCCCTCACAAAGCTTCATTTCGTGATCATGTTTCCTAGAAACATTCAAGTTCGAAAACTTCTTCAAGGAAGCAATCAAGGTCGAAAACGCCTTCAAACCTCATTCATCTCTTCATCAAAACCGATCCAAACCCTAAAGTGAGTTCATACCCCCTTGTTTTCGGTTTTTACATGTTTTTGGGGGAGAATACAAGTGTTTATGTGTAGATCTGTGTATTCATGCATGTTATGTGTGATTTTCTTGGTTTACGTTGTGATTATGTGATAAAACTTGATGAATCTCGAAAATTCTAACAAAATGGGTGGGATTCATAAACTAAAACACTCTAAACATCATACTATAAAGATAAAAGTGTTATACATGCCTAAGATGTGAAAAACAAAACAAAAATCTTGTATAAGGACCATTGTTGACAAGTAAACAAAAGATTGGGATAATTTTGCCACTTACGGTTTTGTGAGGATCAAAAGGGGTCACATTTGTATAAAAATGAGTTTTTATAACAACTATACTTTCCAAAGGACCAAAAGTGTAATATTTTGCATTATGGGCCATAATTTGGGCCTTACGGATTTTTGGGCCCAAATTGCAAAAATATAAATTTCCATGGACTAAAATGTTATTTGATTCAAAACTTGAGTCAGAAATGAAAACTTACAAATTTAGGGGCTGAAAATGACTCTTATTTCAAAATTGGGCCAAAAATGTTAATTTTATAAAAATTGAGCCGAAAATGTCATTTTATTGAAATAAGGGCTGAAAATGTAATTTTCTGCAAAGATGGGCTGAAAATGTCAATATATGTATTTTTTGGTCCAAACCCGTTTATTACTAAACATTTGGGGCGAAAATATAATTTTTTATAAATTAATGGGCTAAAATGTTATTTTTAATTAAAATAGACCAAAAATGACATTTTATGTAAAAATAAGCCTTTAAATGTTCAAATTAGTTTTTAAGGGACCTAAAGTGTAATTTTTATTAAACACGAGTTCAAATTATAAAATTTTGACGTATCGAACTAAAAAAATATCATTATAACAAAACACTGGACTTTTTATAACATTATGGATAAATGTTTCGACTAAATGAACTATACAATAACAAACAAACGAAATACAACAACGGTACGACTATTGAGCCTGGTACTCACTATACATGCTTATCGGGCCTTCGTGATCCATATGCATATTTATTGGGCCCAATATAATCATTTCATGTCTATTGGGCCTTTGCGATCCAATTACATGCTTAATGGGCATAAATTAGCCTTTACATGTTATTGGGCCTTAGTGGCCCATTTACATGCTAATTTAGCCTCGAATAATTCATCAAATGCTTAATGGGCTTTAATGTGTCCATTCACATTTGTCTTTTTTTCATGTTTGGGGCGAAAATATAAATTTTTATAAATTAATGGGCTAAAATGTTATTTTTAATTAAAATAGACCAGAAATGACATTTTATGTAAATAACTTACATGTCTAATGGGCCACATTTGGGGTATGTAATGTTTGGTGATGATTGTGTTATGTTTCATGTATATTCATTGTGATGATAATTCAATTGATAGTCATACGAACCCCCGGACGATTCCGCCGTCTGGTTCGGGGGTGTGACAGATTGGTATCAGATCATTGTTTATAGTGACTTGGCATATCTAACCATACTTGATATGCAACTATAAATACAATGGAACTAAGACACTCTGAATAAAGTGCATACATAAAAAACTATAACATTAAAAGTCTCTAGAGGAAATGGAACACTGTGATTAAACCCGGGCAGTTATGTAGTTATATTGGGGGTAAATATAGCCTGATCAACTATATTTATTCAACATATGAACAACATGTGTTTGGGGGTAATCATGGCGGGAAATTGACCTACAAACTTACCTCATATCCAAAACTTCTTAGGAATTCAAAAACAAATAATTAAAATACTATATGCATATATTTTCTTACAACGTCTTACACCCCTCGTGCAGACTCTATGGCCGACTTTCATCATCCTGGAGATCTCTATTTTCCCAATCAGGGAAATGGTGGATGGTTAGAACCCGAGGAAGAACCCGAGGAAGAAACCGAAGAAGAACCGGAAGAGGAGCCCGTGGGAGGTCTGGCAGAACCGTTAGCCGACTCGGACGAAGAGGAGGCAGAGGGCAGCGACTCAGATGACTCGAATGCATGGTCTGAAGTCATCAACCCTCCGTACATGGTCAGGGTGCCCCCATACTGAATGGGCCCCAATGGACCTACACCCCCATGTGCACACGACATCTGGAGATGGAGCCGCCAGCAGGGGGCGCGACCCCTATTTGGTATGAACCGGGACTACTACGATCTGAGCCACGGTGGTCCCGCCGATCGAGCCTTGCCGGTGATAGTGAGGAGGACTCGCGACATCGGCGGGCAAGCGCAGGCGACAATATAAATTTTTATAAATTAATGGGCTAATATGTTATTTTTAATTAAAATAGACCAAAAATGACATTTTATGTAAAAATAAGCCTTTAAATGTTCAAATTAGTTCCTAAGGGACCTAAAGTGTAATTTTTATTAAACACGAGTTCAAATTATAGAATTTTGAAATATCATTATAACAAAACACTGGACTTTTTATAACACTATGGATAAATGTTTCGACTAAATGAACTATACTATAACAAACAAACGAAATACAACAACGGTACGACTATTGGGCCTGGTACTCACTATACATGCTTATTGGGCATTTGTGATCCATATGCATGTTTATTGGGCCCAATATAATCATTTCATGTCTATTGGGCCTTTGCGATCCAATTACATGCTTAATGGGCCTAAATTAGCCTTTACATGTTATTGGGCCTTAGTGGCCCATTTACATGCTAATTTAGCCTCGAATAATTCATCACATGCTTAATGGGCTTTAATGTGTCCATTCGCATACTTAACAAGCCTGGAAATAACTTACATGTCTAATGGGCCACATTTGTCTTTTTTTCATGTTTGTTGGGCCTTATCCTTTCACATTCATGTATCATCTGGTGTTCGTAATTCTCAATACATATAACGTTATACATATTCATGTGGCAATAATTGGGATCTAGTGAGACTTGTCGGTCGACACCATTGAGTGTATGGCCGTAGCCTGTAGTTATAATCAGAG